GAGCATGGAGGCTTTCAGAGGTGAGTTTATGACCGGAAAGTTGCCAGTTTAAATCACAGTGTTGTGTAGGGTCATTTAGCATGGGGTAAATAAACCAAGCAAATTCTGTTCCTCAGTTAATAACAGTTTTTTGTGCTTTTGTATGTATTTTCTTGCAGTTCCCGAGTGTAAATTATGTTGTTTACTGTAAGCGTTGGCCTCCTTCATTTTCTGGTTCAGAATAATACTCCAGGCAATGCTAAATCAAAGAAATGTCCACTTGAGTTTGACATTTTCTCCTCGGAAATTTGAATTAGTCTTTAAACAGAATGTGTCAAGCAGGATTATATCCAGGTGCCTGGACATGTCTGGAAGCTGGAAACATTTCCATTCAATTTCGACCAACGAATGAGCAAAAATAGCTTTTCTTAACTGATTATACATTCTGGGTGCAGTTAAGATAACTGTGCGGTTCCTCTCAACACTGTAGAGTATTTTAGTTTCTTATAAATAAATATAGCATAAAGCCACTTGTTTCTAGCCGGCAACCATCGATTTTACCAGCTACCATTGTGTCTAGCTAGCTAATTAAGCTAACGTTAGCTCCATGAGTTGGTTAAAAGCAATGTCTCCAGCAATTTTAATGTTTTAAGTGGACTTGCAGAAAGTCACTTGATGGCTAAATGATATCATGCTAAAAAGCAGAGGCTAAAGCTAACAGGTCCCAGGCTAACGGTACCATCCTTACCAGCTGATGACCCGTGAAGAAGACATGGAAATAAAGAAACAACATTGTGCATTTGTACCGAAACCTCTTTTGAAATGAAGCTCTGGCGTGAGTTCAGTCAGGACTATACTCTTGCATACTTCGGCCTGTATTTTATTCCTCATATATCCTGCCATTCACTCCTCTCACAAATGCTCGATCAGCTGTTCTCTTCAGCTGCTCTATCCAATAGCACAGCGACACACCTACATTGCTAAATTAACATCCTGCTGCCGTCTCCCCATCACCACCCAGTCTTCAGATTCATCAGCTTTCTAATTTCATCAGCTGCCAGTCTACCAGTCCTACCGGTGTATGGACTCGATGGGGGGGTTATCTTGCTGCTGCACAAATCTCCCTGTAGAGTCCAAGAGCCAAAGACTGTCTGTCAAGACTTTATTATGACACATTATCAGTTATAATAAACAATTATCTTTTTTTAATATGTCTCCTGATTGAAATGTCAATCAGCTAATTGGCATCAGTCTAATTGCTTAGATTTGTCTCCAATGAGAAGGCTTTTAATATTCTTACCTCGACGCTAGTAAATCTGCCTTAAGTGCTGCGGCATAGGGTTTAAAATCAGAAAACTACTGAACGCAACATTAAGTGATGCATTCAAAAACACTTAGCTCGCTACAGTATGTAAATGTATCATACTGGAGTGACTTTAACAGGCCCGCCTGGCCTCGTTGGCCTCTGAGTGACCGAAAACAGTTCAAACCAAATTCCCCTCACGCACCACTTGTTTGCTCAGTGTGAAGCAACACCAACAGAGTCTGACTTTTGTGATGCGAATGTTTTAAGTAATCTAAATCCTCCCGAGCCTCGCCAAGTCTCACCTTCAAAAAGAAAAAAAAGATCAAGCCCACGGACCTAAAATCGTCTGATCCTAAAGGCTGTGACAATCACTCTGGCAGCCTTCTTATCACATGTGCTCGCATGCTGTCACGGCAATGCCTACGCTCGTTTTTGGAGTCTGCCGATCTAATTCATGCAAGGGACATTAGGTAAAAAATGTGCCAGGCTTCCACGGGACGTGGGGCAAAGAGAATTCCCAGCATTCCCAGCAAGTTCTCATATTACCATTGATGTGTACCACTCCCATAGTGTTCTAGCCTCAGACGTGCCGATGCTACACTGCCGCCAAATCAACAACGTGCAAACCTTTTGGCCCCAAACGCCTGTGTGCATATGTGATCCAGGCACTTTATTCTATACACACACACACACAAATATAGTATATCATGTTTCCCTCTGTCACCACAGACACACCCAAGAGACCCAGCGTGAACCGAATACCACACTAAAGCATGCCAAGTGTGTTGTGTGTATGCTTGAATGCGTGTGTGTGAGTGTGTGTGTGTGTGTGTGTTTGCGAGCGCAAATGTCCGAGGACCCGGGTGGAGCCTTCTGCTCAGAGCGGTTGTGTGTGTCTGTCAGCTGTTCTGCACAGACGGTCTGGGACGAACAACTCACCATGCACCCACACACACGCACACACACACACACACACACACACACACACACACAGGGGCACACATAAACACATGCCATATGCACATGACCAACTAATAACCCATCCAATGATAAGGCTCTGAGAACATCATGTAAATAAATCTTTATCACGATTTATTGAAGCGTGTGAGTCAATAAATTCCCTGGCCTGCTTTTTATGCAACAAACAGACATGATGAATAACAATTATTTCTAATATTGGTTGTCATGATTAGTCATTTTTTAATCTCAGATTATGTGGAGTGTGTGGGACAGGCTGTGTTTTGTGATGAGAGCTCTGCGTTCCAGGATGTGAAAGATGTCGCTGAATGACCCGACGTGAGGCGCAAATCTAAAGGTAAAAAAATGTGACAAACAGCAGGTAACATGCTGGACTTCACGGGTCCAGTTTTTCATCATCTTAAAGAAGTTGCTCTCTGGTACAACATTACATTGATTGGCCTGATGAGGGCGCTGTAATTTATAAATGCCAACATTTTAAAGGTCTTTACTGCTAAAACAACTGGTGAGAATTCACTGAAACATCCCTCTCTCAAATGTATGTACAAGTTATTAACTAGAGGTGTACATCATTTGAAGAGTTATCTATTTCTGTTCTATTTTTATACTTAAAAGAATTGTGGTATCCCAGGAAAAGACAATTCATATTGTGGTATTAACAATAGACCAACGGCAGTGGTGCAGCCAAAACCAACTGAATGTTCAGTATCTTATTGTACTGTCATGAATGTATTATTTTAACGAAGTATTGCCACATCTGTGTTAACGAAGAACATTACTCTGAACTTGTGATCTTTGATGAAATTCTTTGACAACCATTAGCCAGTAATTAGGAAAATAAATGTGCATTCTCAACTCATTTCTGGCTTGTAAATGATGCGTTTGCGTACTTGTCACCATTGGAGTCCATTGTAACTGCTCTAAAACCAGCATTCAAAAACTGCAAACGTTTTTACAACCACCTCTTTGTCTCGAGGGTGTCGGAGATTTTGGGTGGAGTAAAACTTTACTGATACAATCCCTAACTTTGTTTTAGCACCTAACAGTGCCCTCAGATCCCATAGATTTGATTGAAACTCCAAAAATACCAACAGAAGTATTTCTCTAAGCTCAAAATAATTTTACTAACTGGATGGAAAGTTCTGCATGACCTTCACATTCTTCCCTTTTTTTGCCAACCTGGACATTTATTACTTTTTTAATGGAACTACAGGTTTGGCATCACAGCTAAAACGAGGCTATTCAATTTGACTAAATTAGGTGAGATAATAAATCTGATTAATGGATTGGTCTTTACTCCGACAGGTCTCCTTTTGGCAGGTGATTTTTTTTGGGAGACCTGGGTGATATTGGCACTGCACGTTGAGTCAAAATGAGTTGTTACCAATAAGTTATATGTTATTAACAACTCACGTGTTGTACTTTAATGAAAAGCTATGATTGGTGGAAAACATCGAGCCTAAAGAGACAATTGTTTCAGAAGGACTGACACCAAATCTCATGTTCTTTCCTCGATTACAGAAAATATATAATATCAAACTCCAGCATGCCAGAAAAGCAGGAAATGTAGAGTTCGTCATGTCGTCTACATTGGCCCATTATTCACAAGGATAACAATAATAACGTGCAAAAGAGTTTTTCAATGTTCACACAGGCCCCTGGGTACAAACCTAATCAGCCTGGCTCGTGAATTATGAATGACTGTAATCTCTCGTCTGATCACTGCCAGTACTCATGTAGACAAAACTCAATTACATTTTTGAATAAATATACTCATTTAGGTTGTTTTTTTGTCTTTAAAGGTGCTGTTGTAGTACTCGACATTCCCCATATCTCAGTTTGACAGCATTTATAGTACATGACCTGAATTTAAATCTTTGTCAGTCTAAGAGGATGAGAGAATTTGAGCTCAATCCTCCTTTATTAGTCGCATGTTAAAAATCTCTTCTCTGCCAGAGGGGCGGCACACTGGTTCCCCCGTAGCCAGAGAAGGTGGTAGTTATGTTAGTACCACAACCTCTGGATGAGATGGCTGTTAACATTTCTTGTGGGAAAGTCAATCAAAAGAGGTGCATTGTGGCAACAAAGAGATGCAAAACAAATACAAAGAGACAGAAAACTACAACAAAGAGATGTTAAATGACCACTAAATGACCAGGTACTGATGCAAAACAATTAAAAAGAGACTACAAAGAGACGGTAAACAACCACAAAGAGACAGAGAACGACTACAAATGATGCAGCCACAAACAATCACAGAGGGACATCAATTGATCGCACAGAGACACAACATGACGACAGAACCAAAGAAACACAAAACCACTACAAATTTACCACAAAAGGACGCAAAATGATTTATTCAGATCACTATATGTTTCGTGTGTGTGTCGTCGCCCCCCTCAAAAGTTCCAAAACCCGCCCCTGCTCTCAGCCGTGAAGTTTGGCTGGGTTTCCTCCTGTCACTCACACATTACATCATCACCCACTGATCATCAGGTGCCAGGATGATGCATGGACACACACACACACACACACCTCCCACGCAGCATAACATCTTGCCAGCCTTCCTCTGTCTCCCCTGCATTACTGTTCATCAGACATGATCACTCAGTGTGTGTGTGTGTGTGTGTGGGGGGGGGGGTTATCTGCATCCAGGTGTGTCTCGTGATGTTTGTCTATGGATTGATCATTTGCATATGTGCGCGCGTGTGTGTGTATGCGTGTTACTATAGCCTACCTTTCATCCAGTCCACCACCTGGCTCGTGCTCCATTTGCTCACCGGCTCCATCACCAGCGCCATCGAGGAAACTTTGCGCCGACTCTCCGTTGCGCGCAAGCGGTGTTGTTAACCCCCCCACCAAAACAAAAGCTCTAACCGCTGGGAACAGCTCCCCTCCAAACCCTCCCGCCCCGTCTCCCCCCACCCACCTGTCTCTCTCTCTCTCCCTACGCAGCCAGGTGCCTCCTTTATCACACTATTCCGGTCCGGTACCGCCCCTGGCTGAGCCCGGTGTCGTGTCCCGTTAATGCAGTGCAGCCCTCAGTGCGGGACAGCCCGGGCGTGTGCAGCGGATTCCGGTACATTCCCCTGTTCGATCCGGTGTGACATGGGTCTCCCTGTGCGCCAGTCCGGTCCTCCCGGTACGTGTGTGTGTGTGTGTGTGTGTGTGTGTGTGTGTGTGTGTGTGTGTGTGTGCGTGTGTGTGTGTGTGTGTGACAGAGATAGGAGTGTAGGTGTGTGCGCAGCCGGTCCGTTACCGACAGCAGCAGAGTAGGATAGATAAGTCACACCGGACTCAACACCCGACAGCATCTCTCTCTCTCTCTCTCCCTCTCTCTCTCTCTCTCTCTCTCCCGATATGATTAAACCGTGCACGCGCCCCGTGGTGGCTCCGCGCGCACATATCAGTGAATTTCCCTCTGGAGTGATAGAATCATGCAGATATGATGGGGAAAAGATATATTGAGCAGATGTTTAATCAGGCCGCATGAGTGCATGAACAAAGTGCTTGTGTGTGTGTGTGTGTGTGTGTGTGTGTGTGTGTGTGTGTGTGTGTGTGTGTGTGTGTTGGGGGGGGGTACCTTGCACCACAGATAATATATTTGCACCCTCAAACCATTTCTTTCTTCTTTTTTTTTAATGACAGATGTTGAGCTTTCATCTATTTTCACATGTTACATCATTCTCCTTAAACCTGCAATAATGACATAGGATTGTTTTTTGGGCCACTTGGGGGCGGTGTAAGCAAGATGATATGGTCATCGTGTTAGCAAACATTTGCCTGTTTACAAATCCAGCATTAAGGAACAACATGATGATTCAATAGTAGTGGTATTTGCGTCCATTTGATGAATGGTAAGTCTGATATTCACCCTCTTTTATCTCTGTTTTTGGTCTCCACACACTCAGGCTCTTTAGCTGCTAAATGCTCCACGATGTTCACCAGCTAGCCTCTAATAGTGTCTAGAGTACAGCTGCCTGCTGTGGCCAAAAACCACACTATGAACCAAAACAGTAAAGTTGCCGGACAGCTAAACAATGAGCCAAAAGTTGATATAAAGTTGAGGGGAGGTGATTTAAAAATCAGTCATAGTCGCTTTAAAATTGATTTGATCCTGTAAATCACTGCATCAGTCAGTAGCAGTCATAGTATGTGTACTTGTATTCTCCAACCACACCTGCACCTAAAATCTGCCTTCATGCTGTACCTTGAAAGGAGTCCAGACATTCATGGTCCCCAGGCAATGAAGCATACTTCCTCTGGAGACTCTTTTTCTCATTTAGATGGACTAAAACAAAAAATCTACTCAGACGGGAGGTCTGTAATCTGATATCAATGTAGTTGTGTTATTCGTATTTTGTTTGGACCCAAATGTTTTATCTTTTTGTGTCAATAAAATAACTACTACTAGTATCTTGCATCAATATATGTCCACGCCAAACAGACTTACAAGGCAGACTATCAATTTCCATGAACATAAGTATGAGACCAAATACACAAGTGACACAAAAAAAGAATAGTATATTCCATATGCCTTTATACTTGACATGCATCGAATATGCTGATCTCATATAAAATGTATTATTCAGCTAGTTTGCATATTTGTCCAAGCTTTAGAAATAAAAACTATACTTTGCCACTTGGTCCAACTTCTCATTTGCATCAAACCAAAATAATTCAGTATATATTTTCGTCATTCTTACAAAAAGGTGCACGCAGGTTTATCATATTAATCGCACAGGCTGAGACGGTCAGAAAGCTTGCCGAAGCGTGCACTGCTACGCCTCGCAAAACGGGTGAAATACCATGTTTTTAGGCATACTGTATATGAGACCTCAACCCCATCATTTATATTTTCCCCCTCAGTGCATTGCAGCTGTCTATGTGCATATATGTTGTTTTTCATTCGGCTCATTTGTGCCAGTGAATAAACTGGGATAAAAGCCGTAAAAATGCTCCAACTGTGAGTCATATTAGATTGTCATCAGAGGAAATATCTCTCTCTCTCAACTCTCTTGTGACAAATTTCTGAAAAATCTGACAGCCGAGTGTGTGACGTACAATCAATGCAACAGGACGTTTTTGACAGCGGACATCGTCATAATAGACGAAGCGCAGGTGTTCCCAGTGTTCCCAGTTAGCCAACACAGTGATCCAAACCAAAGAGAGAGGGCAGGTGAGGGTGGAGCCTCCTGGTATTGCACAAACCCTTTGGATCAGGAAAATGAGAAACAATTCACAAGAAAAATACAGTATTAAAGTGTTTATTCACCTAATTCCACCTGTATCATTTTTCCTCCATCATTGGAAAACAGCTTTTTCAACAGCAACATCATTTTTTGCATGGATTGATTGTAGCTAAAGGTGCCAGCAAAAAGCAATATTGTTTTTGTAATTTGGTTGATTGAACCCTTTGAGATCTTTTCACTGACTAAACACCTTACATCTTACTGTCTACATCCTGATTTTAACATTTACAATAGCCCCATTCCGTTTAACTCAACGCAAACGTTTCCTTTTCACTGCAGCACTACTTGTTTCCTCTATTAATGAGCAAAGCTGTTCTGAGTCCCACTAAATTAATTCTTATACATATTAATATTTACCAGTGGGATGTTAAGATAACACATTGTAGTAATCTGAGTCAGTGCGATCATGTAATGAAAGTTTGATTAAAACATTACTCAATTTAATCAAATCATTAAAGATTCATTGCTACATTAGTATCTATGTGTGTGTGTGTGTGTGTGTGTGTGTGTGTGTGTGTGTGTGTGTGTGTTGAAAGAGAATCTACTCACCTTTCAAGCATTTCACACACACATATTACATCACAGTACGTTGCACACACACAATTCAGTTATTCGAAAGGACAAGGATACAACAAGCACAGGAGGTAAAATCAGATCTGATCAGATTTGATTTGAGGTCATTGCAGCAGCAGCAGCAGCAGCTGGAGGTGGATGTATGCACAGATAATATAGAGGCTGTAAAGCAGTGAGCAGAGCGAGGTCGACTACAGTTTCCTTTTCCAACTGAGACCTCTGCTGGTCACATACAGACAAACTAAAGCTAAACTCACACTGGAAGCTATTCTATATAGAGACATGAGAGCTGGCAACCTGTATTCATTTTTGTCTTTATTGGGACATGGCTGGATTTAAAACATGTTATTCTTGCTATGTTTTGCTTGGCTGAAGATGAAAGCAACTTATTTTGGTGATCCCCCTATGTTTCCTTTTTGAGCTGTTCATTTTATCTAAATAACTATCAGATAGATTGCCATGAAAGCATTTCACATAGACTGTTCATCTATTGCCAACTGTAAGTCGTGTGTTTTGTATTAATTATCAAATGTTGGCATGCAAACCCAGTAATAATAACAGGGAAAACATTATACTGTTCTTTTCTTCACTGTAGGCATGTTAGCGTTTTAACTCAAAGAACAGCCTCACAGAGCTGCTAGCATGGCTGTGGACTCTTCGGGTAAACATTTTACTGTACCTGTTAAACTTCAGCAAGTTAGCATTGTCACTTTAAGCAACCACAACTACTTTAAGCAATTTTCAACACTTTGTCAAATTTGTTTATTTACTTTCTTACGGTAGATAGCTGAGAGGAGTGATACCGCTCTCATGTTGGTAAGCTAAATATGAAGCTACTGCCAGCAGCCAGTTAGCAACAGCAAGCCGGGCTAACCTCTCCTCACTTAACTTGTCATATATCATTTGTTTCTCTCTTCAAAAAGTGTAAAAGATTGATGAGAGGCAGATGAGAAGACTGATTTGACTGTCTGTTAAACATGAAGCCACCACCAGCAGCCAGTTAGCTTAGCTTAGCTTAGCACAAAGACTGGAAGCAGGGGGAAACTGCAAGCCTGGCTCTGTCAAAATCCACCTACCAGCACCTCTAAAGCACTTTCCAATCAACTTTTTATATCTCATTTGGGTTAACGATAGATGAGAAGTAGATGAGAAGAGTTGATACTATATTCTGTTAAATGTGAAGCTACAAGCAGCCAGTTAGATTTAGCTTTTCATAGGCCTTAAGAACAGAGTGAAGAGAGAACCAAACGCAGATATCAAGAGTTACCAACCAACCAAAATCCTCACTGATCTACACTGTTCTTTTAAAACACAGACATCCAAATCAATAAAATAACTGGAGTGGAATTAAAAAAAGATGGTTCTACATTTCACCTTTGAACCAGTGTAGGCGTATTTGTAATTTAGTTTTATAAAGAACTCGTCCCTCTCTGCGGGGTGGTTGTATCGTTGTGTTTACAGTCACAACCCTTAACCGCTTCACAAGAATGTTCTTAATAAACTGTAGGCAAGGAAGTGAAAAAGGGATTAGAGGATATACAGTATGAACCTTCATAGAAGATCATTTTCTCACCTTGAGGTCATAGTGTCACCGGGGACATTATTAGATATCATTTAAATACATTTGTGAAAGAAATCACCGATAGTGAAGAGAGACGGATGTTGACATCTAAAAAACCAGCACCAGATTACAGCTAAATCCTCAAAACATTTCACAGTGCAACAGCGTAATATTGAGAAAGCAAAAGTTCTTTATGAACCAAGAAGATGTTGAGTCACCGTCACATCAATCAGCCATACACAGTGTGACACCACTATTATTTCAAAATACTGCATCTATTAAATAAAAGTGGATTTGTGTCCATAGCAGGCCATGACACTGTATATGTTGTAAAGTAACACCAATGGCTCAGCAAAGACTTGACATGCTGAGTGCTCGGATACCTGGCTTTTAAAACTTTTTCCACCTCAAACTGTTTCCAGACAAATAAGGAACAAAGAAGTCAAAGATTGTAAGCTATGAGGAGTTTGTCACGTTTGTTGACTTGCAAAGATTCTTACCACCAGTGGAGGAATGTAACTCTGTAACTATTTTGCTGTTACTTCACTACATTTTGGAGGCAAATATTGTACTTTTTACTCCACTACATTTATTTGTCAGCTTTAGTTAATAGTTACTTTGCAGATTCAGATTAGTGTTACAAAATATATTTAACTAAGAAATGACTACGTGCAATATATGTTATTCTGAAATGGGCCATTCTGCTCAATAACTAATGCTGCTGGACTTCTACTTTTGAATGCAGGACTTTTACCTGTTACAGAGTATTTCGGCCCTTCGGTGCTGCTACATTTACTTCCGTAAAATATCTCACAATACTTATTCCACCACTGGTTACCACCGCAACATTTATTTTCACTTTAAATGCTGATCATTTATTTTGCAATTCTTATTTATGTCAAATAAAATAAATTTTAATTCATGCCTGAAACCACTCTCTTCAGCATTACACAGACACTTATGTAACTACCATCAATGTAATTACTCCGGCTCACACATAGTCTCCCTCTACACCTGTTTACTGATGCACCAAGTCTCTATCTCATGCTGTTTTAAAGAATTTGAGCTGTAAAATGAGCTGCCTCAACAGACATCATTTTCTCTGACTGATGAAAACACTGTATCTACCAGGTAGCAGAGAAGAGGAAGTGCTGGTTCTTCGTTTTGACAATCACACTTCATTGGTCATTTGCTCACTTTTTTTGAGGAAGTGAGTAAAACCATAATTACCAGCATTTTACATAAAAAGGAAGTGAAACATCTAGGACAGTGTACCAGTTTAAATAAAGGGAACAAACATTAACATCTAAGACATATTAGAAGCTCTTTAAAATTATTCTCAGAAATGTATTTATGTATTTATTTTCGTACATAATATATTATACATGAAAAACTATCCTTCCATTTTCCTCCGCTTATCGGGGTCGGGTCGCGGTTGCAGCAGGCCAAGCAGGCAGAGCCAGACTTCCCTCTCCCCCGCAACATTTTCCAGCTCATTCTGGGGGATCCTGAGGTGTTCCTAGGCCAGCTGGGAGATGTAATCTTCCCCAGGGTCTCCTACCAGTTGGGCATGCCCGGAAAACTTCCAGTGGGAGGCGCCCAGGAGGCATCCTGATTAGATGCCCGAACCGCTTCAGCTGACTCTTTAGACGCGAAAGAGTAGCGCCTCAACTCCAAGTTCCCTCCTGATGTTGCAACGGGTCCGGCACCCCATACTCCCGCAGCACCCCCCACAAGAACCCCAGAGGGACCCGGGTGAAAGCCTTCTCCAAGTCCACAAAGCACATGTAGACTGGTTGGGCAAACTCCCAGGACCCCACGACCGGGACGGAATCCGCACTGCTCCTCTTGAATCCGAGGTTCGACAAACGGCCGGAGCCTCGTTTCCAGCACCCTGCTCATCATTAAAAAGAAGTGAAAGAGGGAGGACAGTGTACCAGTTTAAATGAAGGGAATAAACATTAACATCTAAGACGGATTAGAAGTTCTACAAAATTATTCTCAGAAATGTATTAATGTATGTGTTTTCGGACATAATATATTCTACATGAAAAACTAGATAAAGCCGAATTTTGCTCAAAACAGCCATTTTCCTGAAGGCCCTGCCTTCAACTCTCACTTCCCCACTTGATCTGTACAAAAGAGGGC